GTCCAAACATAAACGCGGGAACCACCATAGAGCAACAGGCAGCACGTACAATTGCCATGAGTTAGGAGGCTAGTCCTGCCTGTTGTCTCTCTCTGCAGTGATTGATGTCTTCAAGTTTGATTTGGCTGCATGAAAAGATTCTCATTCATAGCCTCGGCGCTCAGATGGACTGAACAGCTCCTTTTTACAGGAGGGGTAGTGGTGGGGGGGTGTTCACAAAATTTGGAAGCCTCCCCTCCCTCCTCTTCCCCACCTTAGCGTTGCACAGCCTGGGTGCTGCTTTGTGTCCCTTCATGGTGGCTGGCACTCTATTCTTTATCAACGCTGAGCTTGTTTATTCTTTTTGGATGAAGTCTCAGATAGGCTGCCGGGGATGTGTGTAGGCCCCTTCTCTTTTGTGTCCGTGTCAGGTTCAATTCATCTCAGAGCTTCTCTCTTGTTCCAGAGCGTTCAATAGCGCAAGATGAAGCAATGGAGTCTGACAATACTGACACACTCCAACTGCAGAGCCAGAGGCCCCCTTGATTAATATGCTGAAATTAGTGGCCTCTGCCACAGATTATTCCGTGCTAAATGTAACAAAACAGCTTGGACGTGCTTCTTGTCTGGAGCAGTTATGGGCTGTAGACAGCTCAAGGAGACCCTATTAATAATACTGCACCCCTCCCTTCTCTCTTTTTCTGAAAGTGTGTCTTGATTTGACCTATTCTCAGTAGAAGTTAATATGAAATCAGCCAATATTTATTTTCTGTTTTGTGAAGATTTTGCATGGCTTTTTGACATTGTGCAAACTACTTTTATTATCTTTTATCTGATATATTTTGGTTTTTTTTTTTATAGCAGATAAAGGCATTGTTGGGATCATTTAGACCTTTAAAGGACATACATTTATATGTGGACATTCACAAAGACTTTTATAGACCATTTTTCACTTCCAACCTTTTTTAGCAACAATTTGGGGAAGATTCTTTCCTGTTCCAGCATGGCTGTACCCCTGGACACAAAGGCGACTCTATAAAGATGTGGTTTAAGGAGTTTTCTGTGGAGGAACATCTGGTTGCCTTTAACCCAATTGAACATCCTTGGGATGAATTGGGAATGCCTTTTTAAAAGCTAGGTCTTCTTTTCGAACATCGGTGCTTGCCCTGACAAATGCTTTTTGGCTAATAAACATACATTTACACACACTCTTTACAAATTTTCATGGAAAATCTTCCAGAAGAGTGAGGGCTGTTAAAGCCCCAAAGGTTGGGCCAATTCTATATCAGTGACCATGGTTTTGGGATGGGATGTTCATCTAAACAAGTCCATATGGATATGTTAGGTGTCAACACACCTTTTGGTCCCATATTGTAGCTAGTACTGATAACAAATGATGTTGTTTCCAGAATATAAACAACATTTGTTTGTCTACAGAAAGCATAAACTCAAACCTAGAGAAGGTCCATCACTGTATGTTTTTGAGGATTGAATACAGTAGTAGCTAGAAGGCATTGAACATACAAGAGTGCACTGAGCTATGATTTAACAGCTCAGAGATGCTATCAGTGTCCGCGTTATTATTTTTAAAGTACCCATGATTAAGGAAGACAACAATCCCTCATTTTAATGCATAAAAGAACTTAAAGGAACAGCAAACAGGCAGACAGCACCTAACACTGAGAAACTGCCGGAGCTTTGTGTCAACAGTCCATTCTTCAGAGCAGGTTCCTAAAGCAAACTTAGGAAATGACTCTGCAAACAGTGCTGCACGGGACAGCTCTTTAAGCTGCATTGTCCCATCCTGTTCCAGTAAAAGGAGCTCAGAGTGCCCTTGTGCTGTGGAATGGGGGGAATGAGTACAGATGTGATCTAGCCAATGGCATCCAAATGTCTTTTAGTTTTAAAGTAATCGGTTGAGTTAAAGTGAGTTTGTTGCTTTTCCCACCAAGGGCAAAATGATGGATTTCGTAGTTTCTCTTCTCTAGGAGCCCACATTTTTTGTAAACTCCTTTTCTAGGTATGTCAGAGCTTACACAAGACTAATAATCGTCCTCCCACATCTGTGACGGTGCTTGAGCCTGGTGATTGGCCGATTTAGATGCGGAGCACTGTGATGAGAAGGTCACATGCTCTCCTCCATACTGAGCATGTCCAAGGACTCCAGCGGACGAATAGAGTGGCAGGGAAGCATGGCAAAAGAACTATCAGCAGTGGGGAGAAAGATCTACCAAGGCAGCCTGCCTCTTCACAACTGATTTTCTGTTTTGGTTGCTTTTAGATTTGAGCACTTCATCAGCATCCTTTTTGGCACTAATTTACAACATAAACCGATGCAAACTTTATTTAATAAACCGTGATGTGAAGTAAGCCATAGCATCCAGCTAGATTCCACTACTTCCCATTGGATGTGATTTCTGATTGGTTGTTGAAAGCTATGGCACACCATTGATCAATGTGTTTTTGTTTTGTTTTTTTTTAACCAAATCTTTTGTAATAGGCAAATTGGTTTGAACAGCCTCCATTGTTGATATCTATAATTTTTCGTATAGGAGTTCATGGATGGGCTCACATAGGCAGTTGGTGTCACTGAAGAAAAAGGAATGGCTTTTATCAATCTAATTTAGAAGCTGTTTCAACAAGTATGAGCACATGATGGTTTCAAATCATGTGTCAGGTTTGGGCAGATTTGATTGGATTGTGTAGTATTTTATGACAAGAAGACTCTTGAACATTTTGGAAACTTTCTGATGGATTATAGAAAACTGACGGTTTGCATTGGTATCCCAGTGATGTAATGGCTTCATTGCTTTGAGTTGCTGATGAACAGGCATGCGGATCTGTAGTTCTGACTTGGTTTTTTCTGCATGTTTGTTCCAGGTCAGTTGCTCAGATTGTATTTGTCAGAGGTGTAGTGTGTGTATATTTTTGCTTTTTTATTTGTTTTTTAACCTAACTACCGATATTATGATTTGGAGCCAAAAAATGTAGCTGCAGTTTTTTTTTTTGTTTGTTTTTTTTTTTTTGTTTTTTTTTCACTGACAAGCTGCTGTTCCTAATACGAAGGGTAGAGTAGTTTTTTGTGTCTGAAGAGGAAAGAGAAAAAGGGCTATAAAAAAAGAAAAGAAAAAAAAGTGGATTATTCTTGAGAGAATGATGCGGCTGCTGAATGGGCAGTCCGTCCTCTCCAAGAAACACGAGACCACTTTTGTATAGACCTACAGCAATGCAGCTTGGACGGGGTCCCGGTGTCCTGGCACCATTGTCACATCAGAATGTAGCAGAGTGCCGCCTGACTCTGGCGCATTTCATTGAGCCTCTGTTGTCGTGATGGATGGGCGCCAGTGACTGGCAGCTCCACACTTACAAAGGATCTCGTAGGTGTGATCTCGGTTAGAATAGGCAAGCGCCGGATTGTGAAAGCCTTAGGATATTTATTACTAACTGCTTGCTGTCACTTCGGGAGCCTCCGGAGACAATTGAGCCCCTTAATCCTAGAAGCCGTGGCTGTAATATGCCTGGGAGCGGCGAAAGAGCATTGGCAGGTCACTTTGAAAAGCTGCACAGAGCAAATTCTTTTGTGCAAAGAAACCAAAGTGACTTGATTGTGTTACATGAAAGTATTCTGACTTTTACTGTGCCCAGTGCAGGGGGCACAGGGAAGGGTGGGTGCCTTCCAGTTGTCTGGATGTTACCAGACTATAGATCCTCGTGACTTCAGCATATGGTGCTTTATCCAACTGCATTCCTGCGACATCAATATGGTAAAATGGCACCTCGTTCACACATTCCTGTTTCTAAAGAAGAAATGAGGGATTTTTCTGTACAGTTCCCTGAGATCATGGTCATGACATGAACACTGTCAGAGAGAGAGTTTTTTTCTCCCTTCTTTTTCATGCACATTTAAAGGTTTCAAGTCAGCCAGGTATTTTTTTCCTTTTTAATCAAGTTAATTGATGCCTCTTCTTTTTTTTTTTTTTTTTTTTTTTTTTTTTTTTTTTTTTTTTTGTACTAGCATCCAAACTTTTGGGGTGTACCTCCTTCAAAGTCCAAGCACTACTTCAGTAGACTTGAGGCTACAATCACCTTAAGCAATAAAGTTTTAATCCAAACTTTATATCTATAGCACTTTTATTCCTGGGGACTCAAAGCATTTTATGTGCTGTTGAGGTAGATGGCAGCCAATTTGAGCCTGCTCAGTAGAATATCATACTGGGGCCTATTTTTGATAGGAGCCAAATAACCTACCAGCATGTCTTTATAGTGTTGGAAGAAGCCAGAATACCCAAAGAAAACGCATACTAGCACAGGGAGAACATGCAGACTCCAGGCAGGTCAAGTATATGACCTGAAGATACTGGTGTATGCTGTAATTTCTAATAACAAAATGGACTTTCAGCCAGCAAATGTAGGAGAATTAATAATCAAATATAATGATTACTCATTTAAATAATTAACTAAGTAGATGGCATACTGTCCTAAAACAAACTATTGCTATGTAAACTACGTTGCATCTTGTTTTTCTGTTGTCAGTATTGCTTTAGCACATTAGAATATGCTCATCCTGACTTGAGGTAATTGCAGTTGTGGGTCATCTTTTTATTTTGGCCGCTTGTAAAATTCTTTCAGGCAATAGCAGACATTGATACCATCAACTGAAAAAAGATGTAATCTGGACAGTCCTTGTAATTACTCCTACAAGCTTGACATGAGTCTCAGCTGAATCGGGCAAAGCCCATTGGTACCATCATGATGGCCAATCAGCTAGTATTTTTAGAAGCAGTGGCTAGTCCTGGCAGCCTATGTATTTTTAGTTCAGGTTTCAATAAACACATTTTTTTTTTACTGGGTGTTGACCAAATTTGCCTAAAAATAGGCAGTGACACAGTTTATGTTGGTTCAGTCATTAGCTTTGATTAGAGAAGTAACTATCATTGTATCCATTGTTTCTCCTTACCCTAGTCTTGAGCTGTAGCAGTATTCTAAACTTTATTTTTCATTCTTTTTTTTTTTTTTTGCAGATGTAAAGTTCATATCACACCCTCCTTCAATGATCGCAGCTGGAAGCGTAGCAGCCGCCATGCAGGGTCTCAATTTGGGGAACACAGACAGCAACCTCTCCTCTCAGTGCCTTACAGTCTTCTTATCACAAATCATCAAATGTGATCCGGTAAGTAGATATTATAGCAGCTGAATGTATCATCAGTAATTGGCATGCATTAAAGAACTACAGAACCCTTTATTGTGTTAATAACCATGTGGCATCCTACATAGTTGTAATACTGCCCTTTTATACTTTTTAAGGCTTAAGGTTTTTTTTTTTTTGTTACCTTCATGTATTCGATGCATAAAGATAAAAACCTGTGTGCAGCGCCCAATGAAGAGAGAAAGGGGGTGGGGCCAAGGCATGGCTCTGTGTCTTATGGGCGCATAGAGGAGCTGCTTGGGGATGTGTATGCAGATGTGACCCCAGGGAGAGTGGCTTTTCCTGGGGGCATTGCTTGAGGGGGAGGAGCCAGGAGCACTGGCGGGGACCTGAAAAGAAGAGGATAAGGGCTGCTCTGTGCAAAATCACTGCACAGAGCAGGTGAGTATAGACATAGTTTGTTATTAAAAAAAACAACAAAAAAAACTTTAGCATCACTTTAGGCTGTGTAAAGTAGCCCAGATCTTTCACTGAGAGGAGTTGACTGTCGTTAAGAGAGCACCAGCATGGCAAACAGTGATTCCTTCTACCTTTGCAGAATGCAGCACCCACATGACTGGTTAAAGTTGCCTTTGAAGGGGTGCAATGTAGTCAATCCACAGCTCCCCCAACAAGCTAAAACATCTCTCCCTGCAAAACAAGCATTCTCAATTCTCAGGAGTACTAGTTATTTCAAAGTAATTAACCCGAAATTGCTCCGAGTGAACTTAACTAGCAGATGTTGGTTGACCAGTGAGTTGGCCGAAAAAAAAAAGTCATTAACACCACAAACCAACCTATTGACAAGTTCCGATCAGTAGGTACATAAGCTGAAAAAACGTTCTTTCTGAGAACTCCTGTAGTTTTTCCACATTAGGCACACATCCATTCCTTCTCATTAGCTCTCTGGTAAATATCATTTAGGGTCATTTATAGAGTACTTGCGGTGGCCTTTTGTTAAAATTAACCTCTTGCCTTTACTATTTATATTTGCAAGGATCAGAAACACTTGTTTTGTTTTCTTATCAGTTCAGTTGGAGCTAACAACTTTGCTAGGGCATTTTGAAGTTTATAATAGAGGTTTGACAGGAGAGGGTGAAAATCTTTCTGGTTCCTTCTGAAGTGATGGTTACTGCTCAGTGATGGTGAACCCTTGGTTCGTTAACTTTCTCTAGAGGACAGCAAAGTAAGTGTGAAGCAAAGCCCTTCACCGACATTTGGTTTCTGATAAAGACTACTTGTTGGGATAGGTCCCACCATAGGTAATTCAAGAGCTTTAATCTGTAGAAGCAGCTCTCCTGGAAATGCTCTAGTGTCTAAAGCAGTGGTTCTCAACCTTTCTAATGCCGCGACCCCTTAATACAGTTCCTCATGTTGTGGTGACCCCCAACCATAAAATTATTTTCGTTGCTACTTCATAACTGTAATTTTGCAGTGGGAGGAGTAGTGCCACGTCATTGGTGTCAGTGGGAGGAATAGTGTCCCATCACTGATGTCAGTGGGAGGAATAGTGCCCCATCATTGGTATCAGTGGGAGGAATAGTGCCCCATCATTGGTGTCAGCGGTAGGAATAGTGCCCCATCATTGGTGTCAGTGGGAGGAATAGTGCCCCGTCATAGGTGTCAGTGGGGGGAATAGTGCCCCGTCATAGGTGTCAGTGGGGGAATAGTGCCCCGTCATTGGTGTCAGTGGGGGGAATAGTGCCCCATCATTGGTGTCAGTGGGGGGAATAGTGCCCCATCATTGGTGTCAGTGGGGGGAATAGTGCCCCATCATTGGTGTCAGTGGGGGGAATAGTGCCCCATCATTGGTGTCAGTGGGGGGAATAGTGCCCCATCATTGGTGTCAGTGGGGGGAATAGTGCCCCATCATTGGTGTCAGTGGGGGAATAGTGCCCCATCACTGGTGTCAGTGGGGGAATAGTGCCCCATCACTGGTGTCAGTGGGGGGAATAGTGCCCCATCACTGGTGTCAGTGGGGGGAATAGTGCCCCATCACTGGTGTCAGTGGGGGGAATAGTGCCCCATCATTGGTGTCAGTGGGGGGAATAGTGCCCCATCATTGGTGTCAGTGGGGGGAAATAGTGCCCATCATTGGTGTCAGTGGGGGAATAGTGCCCCATCACTGGTGTCAGTGGGAGGAAAAGCGTCCCATCACTGGTGTCAGTGGGAGGAAAAGCGCCCCAACATTGGTATCAGTGGGGAGGAATAGCCCCATCGTTGGTATCAGTGGGAGGAATAGCGCCCCATCGTTGGTATCAGTGGGAGGAATAGCGCCCCATTGTTGGTGTCAGTGGGAGGAATAGTGCCCCATCGTTGGTGTCAGTGGGGGAGGAATAGTGCCCCATCGTTGGTGTCAGTGGGGGGAGGAATAGTGCCCCATCGTTGGTGTAAGTGGGGGGAGGAATAGTGCCCCATCGTTGGTGTCAGTGGGGGGAGGAATAGTGCCCCATCGTTGGTGTCAGTGGGGGGAGGAATAGTGCCCCATCGTTGGTGTCAGTGGGGGGAGGAATAGTGCCCCATCGTTGGTGTCAGTGGGGGGAGGAATAGTGCCCCATCGTTGGTGTCAGTGGGGGGAGGAATAGTGCCCCATCGTTGGTGTCAGTGGGGGGAGGAATCGTGCCCCATCGTTGGTGTCAGTGGGGGGAGGAATCGTGCCCCATCGTTGGTATTAGTGAATCCAATGATGGGGCACTATTCCTCCCACTGACACCAATGATACTTACCTTGCTGACCCCTGCTCCAGCCTGGGCTCGCTCGCTCCCTCCCTCCCCCATGGTACAGACACTTACCCTGTCAGCTGTCAGCTGTCTTTCCTCGCAGCTCTCCGGCCGCTCTCCTCCTCTGCACCCGCTCGATCTTCGCGGTTCCGCTCGGCTCCTCCTCTCCAAGCTCCACCTCATCGCTGGTGATTGGCCGCCTGTGTGCCTCTCCTGAGCTACAGTTCCGGCGGCCAATCACCGGCGAGGATTGATCCCGAGGGTGTGTCCAGATGACAGGGGCGGCATGTCATCCCGCCCACACCTGGAGACGGATAGAGCAGCGGTGTCTCGGTTCCTAACACCATCGGAAATATGTGTTTTCCGATGGTCTTAGGCGCCCCCTGTGAAAGCGTCATTCGACCCCCAGGTTGAGAACCGCTGGTCTAAAGGGTTGGTATCAGAGCTGCACACAAAGCTCATACAACCCTCATTTGTCTCTCCATGACGAAACCTAATGAACCTAAGCTGGGCTTAAGCTTTAGATAGCTGGGCTTAGTCAGTGGAAATCCTGGACCGTCCTCTTGAACCCTCAAAAAATGCCATCAGAAGAACCTGAGAGCCAGGCTTCTTTTTTGGTCAATTTTCTGTTGACCTAATTCCAAGTATACATTAATACTTTTGGACATGAAACTGATAATTTGTAAATAGGACTGAACACATCAACAAGGCCTAATAGAGAAATAAATTAAAGTTCACAGTTTGCTTAAAGTCTCATCAGAGTTTTTATTATCCTGGAGAATCTGGTTATCACAGCTCTGGAAAATTGTACATGTTTGGGGAAAGCATCAATGAATGAAACACTTGATACATTGATTCACCCAACAAATTTTATCTAGCATTGCGATAAGCTCTCTTAAAACAGGTGAAAAACTGGACCACTGTTTGAATTGGGCAATTTATGGACAACTTGTTTTTGACTGTTGAGATGGTCAATCACACAACTAACATAGGATTGTCCACTCTACTAGAGAATAGGTTGTCTAATGTATTAAGGCTGATTCAAGAGAAATGTTTAACTAGAGAGATAATATCTTGTTGATAACGTTGCAAGATGCCATCCGTTACTATGGCTTGCAGGGTATGGTAGAACATTGGACAGATTTCCTTTCCAGGGTTAAGGGGGTTGAACACGGTGGGTGACATAACTTTGCAACAAATGTTGAATAGCCACTAATGGGTTTTTCTTTCTTTTTTTCTCTTTCTCATCCTAGGACTGTTTGCGGGCCTGCCAAGAACAGATTGAGTTACTCCTGGAGTCAAGTTTGCGTCAAGCATCCCAACAGATCAACATCACCTCAGACACAAAGTCCGGGGTGGAGGAAACGGATCTTTCCTGCACCCCAACTGACGTCAGAGATGTGAACATCTGATGGTGGATTAAGCTGATCCAACAGAGACTCACTAGGTGGCTTTTCCTTTTCTACGGAGCCTAATGTGTGGAAAAAGCTCTGCAGTGTGAATATCTCCCACACACCCCCCATTATGGGGAAAAAGACAAAGAGCCAAACCTATGGACATTCATACCAACCAAGGGTTAAAAACCCGCTGTTTCTCCTATATACCTGTGACCTAAAATAATACCCCAAAAAACTCATACAAAAAACACAAAAAGAGAAAATAGTATTTGCATAATCCTTCACCGGTGTTGTGCTAGAAAAAAAGGATTTTTATAAGACATTAATGAGCTAGTTTTATATTAAAGGTGTTTATGTCTGTATGTTGTAAAAATAGGCATTAACACAAGACAAATGTCTCCAGGGGAGGTACTAAAATTTGGTGTCCTTATGTGTAAACAGCCATTTTTAATGTAGAAGAGGCTTCTAGTTAGATTAATAACAAACATTTCTATATTTTCTTAAAATGCCTATCGCTTTTGCGCAGTCTAAGCGTTTCTGTATTCTGCTTGCTATTGCATGTAGTCACTTTATATTCTCTCTTTACAATTTTTTTTTTTTTTAACCTCCTTAGTTTTGTATCCTCTTCACTTTATAAATGGTTATTGTAACCCATACAATAGTATATCTTAGTATAGTGCATTACTATGTTAATCATTTATGTATCAATGTGGATTGTCTATACCTGAGGCTTGTTGGGTGCTCCCAGTTTTAATTTTTTTGTTTGTTTTTCGTTCCCCCCCCACCTTGCATTGTCTCAAGGCTCTAGTTTACTGCCCATATTTTTACTCTATTATAAAGAGATACGGACATAGTGAACATAATATATTTTTTATAATCTTTGTATTTTTGTAGCTGCCTCAGTCTTTCAACAAAAAAACAAAAAACAAAGAAACCAAAACTGGTTATCACCCTAGAGGATGCAAGCCTAAACTATTGGGTTCAATCCACAGTCCTAGTTTTGTGTTTTTTTTTTTGTTTTTGTTTTTGTTTTTTGTTTTTTTAAGATTCTAAAACCATTCCATTTCAAAGCACTTTGGGTCCTTTTTAAGTTTTAGTGATAGGTTTTTGTATGTGGGAATCAACAAAAAACAAATGGAATGGTTTGGAACTACATTGATATTTTTTGGTATTTGCGTCTTGAATGGCATGGCAAGTGATAACTACTATTAAGCTCAACTTGGCTTAGGCAATCTGTGGCTTGAAGTATTCTGGGAGTTAATAGGCACCTCTTAAGCAGTCCTTGTTTTGTGAAGATGCAGCCTATCAATTCACTAGGGAATAGTGAAGTTTGCGGGGACCAACTTACAAAATGGTTCCCTTTCCCATTATATAGCTGACAAGTGCACTTCATTTTTTAGCCTGAAAGCCACAGGCTACCTATCCAGGTATTAGAAGTGTGGTTAGACATATTTTGCATTGGCACAGTACATAGATTCCCTTTTGCGTGCTTCTTGTGAAATATAAGGAAGCCTACCAATGTTCCGGGAGTCCGCTGTGTTTAACTTTATAACGTCACATAAGGGCAAGTTAGAACTATGGCTTTATCTAAAGTTAATGTTAAATGGAACTTTTTTTTTTTTTTTTTAACACTAAACTATATAATTTATGGCTAAGGCTAAATAAATATTTATTGCGAGAAATCCTCACAAGGCCAGTATCACCTTTAAACAAGACATAATGCAATTTCCACTTTAAATGTTTGTTTTTTTTGTGGGTCCCATTCTGTTGCGGGAGAGAAAAAAAAATAAATAAATTAGAGGTTCCCTTGACAATGGCTTTACATTGTCGTTACGCAAAGCACTGTAAATGAATTGTGGACAATGGCGTACTTGAAATTGGTTGTCTTGACTTGTTTCCACCCACTTTATTTTGTTCTTAGCTAAAACACACAAAAAAATAGAAAAATATGAAATTTGCACATTGAACCTCTCAAACGTTTTCTATTTATATATAATTAAAAAAATTTAGATTGAAGGGAAAAGACAGACTTCACAGAGGGGAAATGTACTGAGTATGTAAGGTGCCCTTATGGTTTTGATTGTGTAAAAAAAAACAAAAAAGGAAAAAAAAAAATGGAAAAAACATGGAAATGGAGACTAGTCTCCCATCTTTATTAAAGCTGCTATGGATTTAAGTTCCCAGCAAAGTTTAAAAAAAAAAAAAAAAAAGTTGGAAAAAAACATACAGTGCTTTTCTGTATCTTTTTGTCATTGTTTTATTTTGCTGCTATAATGTTGTAGTCTTTTTTGTTTTGTTATGATATATATGCCATTTTCTAGAATTTAATTTTCTCATAGAAAATTATATTGTTGACTTCCATGTTTTTTGTTTTAGTTTTGTTTTTTTTCTTTTAGATTTTGTATGTGGTCAATTTTACTTTAATGTGATTACTGCTCTATTCCAAAAAAAGGTTCCTATTTCACAATACCTCATGTCACATTGTTGTCACGTTAGACAAGGTCTAAATTGTCCCAGTCATTCTTAGACCTGCAAGTTGTGTTGGGTGCCAGAAGTTGCGTTATTTTAAAAAAAAAAAAAAAACATTTTTTTTTATATATTTTTTTTATTTTTAGTATATTTTGGAAGGAAAAAAATTACAGACCTTTCAGATCAGCTCTCATTTGTATTGGAATGTGTATGCAAAGTTGGTTTCGATATTAACTATTTGTTGGGAGAAGTGTGACCAAGGGGGATCAGCTTTTGCTTTAAACCCTTTACAGGGTTCTCAGTCTTAAAAACCTTAACATAAATCATCACTTCTCCATTCAGGCACAGTTAAAGAGAGGGTGGTAAGATTGCAAATTTTATAAATGGAAGCCAGTTCTTCTGTTCTTTTGTTATGCATGTGCAGGCCTTTTAAAGGGTCCATTGGTCTCAACAGAAGATTAAACAATTTTTGCTTATTGCCATGGGAAGCCCTCCTACTGCCTAGTGGTACGTTTTTACAAAGATGACCTTTCTAGTCCTACTAGGGCAACCAGCAAAATCTAAACTGCTGCCTTATGACCTCCAGCCTGTTCAGGTATTAAAAAAAAAAAGATTAGTATCTGTGCCTTACCAATTTGGAAAGTTTGCTTTTTTTGAACGTGTCTGGCAAATTTTGGTAGAATTATGTTTTCAAAGAACCTTTTGATTCTGAGGGATGTTCTGTGATTGGTTGGATTGAATAGCCCAAAGGCAGTTAATAACCCCAAGGGTGTGTTTTGGGATTTAGAATTCTGCAACAGTAGAGGAAGTTTAAAATATTTATCTACATCCGGGCTAACAAAGGTTTGATGTCAATGATGAATACAAAATCTGCTGGAATGGCTGTCATAGCACCTCTGTTGGAAAAATAAAATGTTAGTTTGTTCATAGAATGTTAAATGTTTAAAAAAGGCTAGACCACTTGATTGAACCTTTTGGCTGAGGTTCCTTGTTTGGAAATCTGCACGTCACTTATTACCTCCCAGTTTCTGAGTGGCTGCAAAGTAGCATATCTTTGCTGCAAAACTGGCTGGGAGGCGCTTGGTGCTAAAACTGCACTCAAAGTATTTTTTTTTTTTTTTTGTTTTGTTTTTTTGTAATGGCATAGAATACATAGCAAAACTGGCTAATGCTGTTATTCAGAAGAATGGATTAGCTGGATTCTGCACGCTGCTAAACCAAATCCAAATTTTGCGAGAAATAAAATAAAGTCCATAGATTTATGGATTCACTTCAAACATTTTACTGTCAGGGTCCAAGAGTACTTGACACATCTTGTCCAAATTCCAGGAACTTCTGTTTCTTTCTAATATTTGTTTCACTGTTTACCTCAAGAACTCTTCTGTCCATGTCATCCATACCAATTCTTTTCCTGGACCAAAATGTGATAACTTTGGTGGCTCCCAGTTCTGTTGTTGGTTAATTGGGAAGCACAAAAAACATTGTTTAAACGTTGTAACTCCTAAAAGGCCAAAGCCTAAGGTCGATTCATGTACTAAGAGTAATGTCATGGTTTTTGTTTTTTTTTTCTACAGTTCTCAAATGTCATTTAGTATCATTCATCTTTGTGCATTTTTTTTTTTTCTTTGTCTGTTCATGATGGCTGGTCTGAAACGCACATTGTCACCGCCAGACCTGCATGTAACACATTACTCGCCAACTATGAGTCGTATGAAAAATATAATGCGAATTAAAATCTAGAAATAAATTGCGATTTAAAAGCCTTTCTCTTGCCTTCTTTTTTTTTTTTAAAGTTTTTAATATTCTTTATTTAGCGTATTTACAAAAGTATCACATGGGCGATCCAATAGAGTCCACCTGTCATTTTTTTTCAGGTGGACCTGATCGATGATCCATGCATTCCTACAGACTGGCAGATGTAAATAGATTTGTGCCCATTTACACCTGTCTACCTGAAGGCCCATTAAAGAGGACTGCACCCTCTTCCGTTTGTGCTGACCTGATCAGAGGCACCCAGGTGTAAATGGACAGCATAGAGCAAAGCTGGGGTTGCTCTGCAGAAACTGAATGGGCATGGACCTGTCATCTTCGCTGCTCTCCTGATCAGCAGGGGATCTGTGAGCTGATCTGAACATAAAACCGCACATGTGAATGGGTCCTAAAAGTGAAACCTGAACCTGAGTTTTGCAATAGATTCTGCCACGAACCCAAAACACCCAGGTGTGACTGGAGCTGCCCTGGTTCACACATATGCCATTCTGGATGCAGATTCGCAGACAAGCTAGATATTTTGTGTTTCTATTGAGCTGGTTAACACAGATGTGATCCACAATCATTGTGTTTGGAGTACCATTATGAAAAGGGTCCTGTGCGAGTTTGTATCGGTGCGTTCCAGACTAGGAAGTGAGAGTGGAGTGGCAAGCGGAGAGAAGTGTTCACATATGATTGCTATTGACAGGAGTTTTTGC